TCTCATGTGCTCTCTCTCTCATTCTCTCTCTCTCAAATAAATAAATAAAATCTTTAAAAAAAAAAATTGGATTACTTGTCTCTATTCTTGAGTTGTATGTGTTCTTTATATATTCTGGGTATAGCCCCTTATCAGCTATATGATATTTACTAAAACACTACTAAAATATTAAAATATTTTTATGTATAAAATAAAATAGTAATAATAGTAATACTAATATTTTAAATAATGCTAAATATTTTCTCCTATAAATTTTCTTTTTTACTTTCTTGATGATATATTTTGAAGCACAGAAGCTTTTAATTTTGATGAAGTCCAGTTATCTTTTTTTCTTTTGTTGCTTATAGTTTTAGTGTCGTATCTCAGAAATCATTGCCTAGCCTGAAAAATTACTCATACATTTTTTTCTTCTAAGAGTTTTATTATAACCTTAGCTCTGACATTTAGATCTATGATTACAGCCTCCCCCCTCCCCCCAATGAGTTGCTTTAATTCCAGTGGTACAGAATTGGGGTAAATCAAAGATTGATTAGTAGACTTTGACAGGATTCTAGGCTGGGTTTGCTCTGACTCAGAGCTAAGGTAGAAATGGCTGAGTGAGAAGAACTAAGGAGAAGATGAGCCACTGTACAATACATTTTTTTTTTTTTTACAAAAATGTATTCCTAAATGTACAACAGCGTCCAAGAGGACACTTTATTCTAGCTGTAGGTGGCAACAGATATGACAGGTAATCTAGATATGTAAACAGGAATTTAGGAATTAAGGATCACTATTGCCACCAAGGCACAAGGAGCAGCTTATTTTTTGCCAGATTTCTTAATTCCAACTATGGCCGGAAGATCCTTTCCTATAGCTTTCACTTTTAGCCCCTTGAGTGTCTTCTCTGTTTATTTCTGCTTAAATGCCTTATCTTCCTAGTTCATTTCCTTGGCCTGCTTCTTTGGCTATTTCAGGGGCTTTCTACCTTCACTGGTCTACTGGTCTACTGTTTTTTCCCTAGACCCTGCCACCGGAAGCAGAGCCCCCCCAACCCCACCCCCTGCGCCTATACTTCCAGTATATGATCAGTTTTAAATTGATTTTGGTATATAGTGTGAGGAAGGGGCTCAACTTCATTCTTTGGCATGTGGCTATGCAGTTGTCTCAACACCATTTATTGAAAAAACTGTTCTTTCTATATTGTTTTGGCACCTTTATCAAAAATTAGTTGAGGGTGTCTGGGTGGTGCAGTTGGTTAGGTGTCCGACTCTTGGTTTCAGTTCAGGAGGTGATCTCAGGTTGAGATCTCAGGCTCTGTGCTCAGTGAGGAGTCTAGTTGAGCCTCCCTTTCCCTCTGCTCCTCCCTGCATGCTCTCTCTCTCTCAAATAAATAAATAAATCTTTTAAAAAAAGTTATTTGAGCATAAATGTAAGAGGGTATGTTTAGGATTCTTGATTCCATTCCATTGATGTATGTCTATCCTCATGCCAATACCAAAGTATCTTGATTACTATGGCTGTTTATTGTATTTTGAAATCAGGAAGTGTGAGTCCTCCAACTTTGTCCTTTTTTCAGGATTATTTTGGCTATTCTGGGTCCCTTGCATTTCCATATGAATTTTAGGGTTGGTTAGTCAGTTTCTCAAAAAAAAAAAAAACAAACAAAAAAACAGGTGGAAGTTTGATAGAGATTATGTTGAATCTATAGATCAATTTGGGGAGTATTGCCATCTTAAAAATATTAAATCTTGCAAACCATGAACATGGGAGTGTCTTCCCATTTTTTTAGATCTTCTTTCATTTCTTTCGACAGTGTTTTATATTTTTCAGTGTACAGGTCTTGCAATTTTTTGTTAAACTTATTCCTTGGTATTTTATTCTTTTTGATGCTTTTGTGAGGGGAATTTTTTCTTAATTTCATTTTGGATTATTCATTGCTAATGTATAAAATATGATTGATTTTTTATATATTCTTTTCTCTTGCACCTGTGCTAAATTCATTATAATAGTTTTGTGTGTGTGTGTGTGGATTCCTTAGGATTTTCTATATGCAGGATCATGTCATCTGCAAGCAAACAGTTGTACTGCTTTTTCAATTTGGATGTCTTTTAAAGATTTTATTTGTTTATTTGACAGAGAGAGACACAGCGAGAGAGGGAACACAAGCTGGGGGAGTGGGAGAGGGAGAAGCAGGCTTCCTGTTGAGCAGGGAGCCCGATTCGGGGCTCAAACCCAGGACCCTGAGATCATGACCTGAGCCGAAGGCAGATGCTTAACGACTGAGCCACTCAGGCGCCCCTTGGATGCCTTTTATATATTTTTTTCTTGCGTAATTTCCCCAGGTAGAATCACAAATACAGTGTTTTTGGTTTTGTTTTTTTTAAAGATTTTATTTATTTATTTGACAGACAGTGAGAGAGGAAACACAAGCAGGGGGATTGGGAGAGGGAGAAGCAGGCTTCCTGCTGAGCAGGAGCCTGATGCAGGGCTCGACGAGGGGCTCGATCCCAGGACCATGGGATCATGACCTGAGCCAAAGGCAGACGCTTAACGACTGAGCCACCCAGGCGCCCCACAAATACAGTGTTGAATAGAAGTAGTGAAAATGGACATCCTTGTATTGTTGCTTATCTTAGGGAGAAAGCATTCAATTTTTCACTATTAAGTATGATGCTAGCTGTAGGTTTTTTATAGATGCCCTTTGTCAGATTGAGGAAGTTCCTTTCTATTGCTAGTTTGTTAAGGTTTTTTTTATTCCAAGATTTTTATTTTTTTATTTTTTAAAATTAATTAATTAATTTTTTGATGTAGTGTTCTGTGATTCATTGTTTACGTATAACACTCAGTGCTCCATGCAGTACGTGCCCTCTTTAATACCCATCACCAGGCTAACCCATCCCCCCACCCCCCTCCCCTCTAGAACCCTCAGTTTGTTTCTGAGTCCATAGTCTCACATGGTACGTCTCCCCCTCTGATTTCCCCCCCTTTGTTTCTCCCTTCCTACTATCTTCTTTTTTTTTTTTAACATATAATGTATGATTTGTTTCAGAGGTACAGGTCTGTTATTCTTCAGTCTTACACAATTCACAGTGCTCACCATAGCACATACCCTCCCCAGTGTCTATCACCCAGCCACCCCATCCAAGATTTTTATTTTTAAGTAATCTCTACACCCAGCATGGGGCTTGAACCCACAACCCCATGATCAAGAGTCACATGTTCTACCAACTGAGCCATCCAGGCGCTCCCAAGTTTGTTACATGTTTTTTTATCACAAAAGGGTATTGGGTTTTCTCAAATGCCTTTTCTGCTTCTACTGAGGCAATCATGTTTTTATATTCTATTAATATGGTGTATTATAATCATTGACCTTTGGATGTTAAATTGATCTTGAATTCCTACAATAAATCCCACTTGGTCGCATTTTTTTTTATATGTTCCTGTACTTAGTTTACTAGTATTGTGTTCAGGATTTTTGCATCAATATTCATATGGGATATTGGTCTGCAGTTTTATTTTCTTTTGTATCTGTGTTTGGTTTGGATATCATCAGGCTAATACTGGCCTCATAGATTTAGGTAAGAAGTATTCCCTCTTCTTCTGTTCTTTGAAAGAGTTTATGCAGAGTTGTAGCTAATTTTTCTTTAAACATATGGCAGCATTCATGTGTAAAGAAAGCTCTTGAGCCTGAGCTTTTCTTTGTGGGAAGTTTTAAAGTTACTCATCCAATCTCTTTACTTGTTATAGGCCTATTCAGATTTTCTTTTTCTTCTTGAGTCAGTTTCAGAAGTTTGTGTTTTTCTATGAGCTTTTCCATTTCATATAGATTATCTAATTTGTTGCTATGCAGTTATTCATAATATTTCCTTGTAAGTCTTCTCCATGTAGTTTTTAAGAATAAAAGTTTCTTGTTGCCATTAAAGACGCTATGAAGACTTTTTAAAATAATGTGGAATAACGGTCCCAACATAGTGTTAAGTGAAAAAAGCAGGATATAAAATTGCATTTACACTTTTTACATTGAATTATAAGGGTTCTTTTATATATTCTGGATATTAGACATTATCAGCTATATGATTTGTGAATATTTTCACCCATTCCTTGGGTTGTCTTTTCACTTTCTAGATAGTGTTCCTTGATTCCACTTCTATTTTTAAGGTTAATTATTTGCAGATTTAAATAACCTTTACACCTTGATTAAAAGTATTATCTCATGAAATTCTGGTGACTTCTTGCTATGAAATAGCAATTTGTGAATTCTAATGTACCTGTGAATATGCATCTGTGCTTTTCTTTGTCAGTAGCTGTTAAGAAACTACCTCAGACAGTTTGCCCAGAAATAAATAGAAAAAGAATACTGAGTAAAGTTGATTAATTTACTGTTTTTTTTCCCTGTGCAATAAAATGCATTAGTAGATAGTTTATAATATACTTTATTCCAGGAAATAAAATGGATAGTTTTCTGTTAGTGATATCCCATTATACTGAATACCACTGTCTTTTTGATATATTGTTTTTTTTATATACTCTTATAGAAATAAAAAGGCTGTTCTGTTTGTTTGTTTTTTGTTTTTTATTCTTTTAATTGTAAGGACTGTGCCATCTGTGCTACTCTCCCCTTTGGAATTGAGGGAGTAATGATAACAGTTGCTGTGGCCAAGATTCATGGAGCAACTATGATGGCAGAAGTGGAAATTGAGGCTACATCTTACTTTGGGGGGAAATTTGTTTTAATGCAGTTTTCTTAAGACAACTTTTTTCAATGGAGGAGGAAATTGAGGTCATGAAGAAAGGGAGAAGTAGACAAAAATCAAACAAATTTGAATCATGTGATAATTTGTTATTTTTTATTGACTTTATCTTTTATAGCTGATCATATGTTTAACTCTCCATATTCTTTATCTTGTTTTTGTTTTTGTTTTAAGCTTATAGTAGCTGTTGAACAAGAAGAAATTCCCAGACTTCAAGCCCTATATGAGAGAGGCCTGCAGAACGGTGTCCAGGGCCTGAGGCTAATCCAACAGGAGGATATAAAGAAGAAGGAGCCATATTGTAGGGTAAATGATTCACTAACCCCACATACATGCTCACAAGGACATTTTCATTTAGGGCTCAGCCCTGTGACATGGAGGCTGAGGGTGAACTTACAGAAAGCAAGAATCACTCTTCTGGGACAGTGAGGTGACAGCCACAAGAGGGCATTGCCACAAACTCTGAACACCTGATTTCTTCTTTCCCTGTGAGAAAATACCAAATCTGAAGAACATAAGCAAAGACAAGAGGAGGTCTGAGACCATATGGCACGTTGGGAAAACATTGAGTGGTGAGGTGTGGTTGATTCCCAGGGTGTGTAGGGAGAGATAACAGATGAGACTGGAAAGGCAGGATTAGGCTTGTGTAAAGGACTTAATATCCCTGCTAATAACTTTGAAGTTAGTAGGCATGAGGAGCCACTGAAAATTTTTGAGGAGGGTGGCTATGTTATCCATGAGTGTAAAGGGTAGGTTGTAGAATATCTTGCTTAGAACATGCTGTGGGGAGAACAGATCTTTTATTTATGAAAGAGACATGAATAATAATTTAATACTTACTCTGCATATTGACTTTCTTTGATAGTCTTTCAGAGGCTATCAGTCCTACCCCCAGTTCCACTAACTAGTCCAATGAGTGGCTATATCTCCTGTTTCTCACCACCATTATTTTTTAGGGGAAGAGGCAGAGGTATGTGCTAACATACCAGTTTCAGAAATTCAGTATAAGCAAAATATCATGTAGAGTCACCACAATATAATGGCTTAATGACTGTCTAAACTTCTTTCTTTCTTTCTTTTTTTTTTTTTTAGAGAGGTAGGGGAGAAGGGGGAGGGAGAGAGAGAATCTTAAGCAGGTTCCACGCCCAGTGTGGAGCCCGATGTGGGGCTTCATCTCACGACCCTGAGATCATGACCTGAGCTGAAACCAAGAATTGGACACTTAACTGACTGAGCCACCCAGGTGCCCCCCCCCCATTTTATTGACAATATGCAATAGCTGGACTCCAGGTACCTATCCTAGAGAATGTGACTTTGAACTCACTGCCAGGCAATGCTTATCAAAACCTTGGTTTAATGGAAATAAAAATACTATTTATGAATGATATTCTGGAGGATATGTAGACCATTTATTCATATACATCTATACCACCCAAGTGGCACACCTGCATTGCAGTGTTTTCTCTCCCCATCCTACTCTTTGACCCCAAATTACTCCCTTTGAATTATTCTTTGGTTTTATGGCATCAGCCTATGGAGAAGGTCATTTTGACACTGGATGAGGATGAGGTTAGGATGAGGTTGAAAAGATAGGTTGTTCACTGTGCTACACAACATCTGTCTTTGAGAACCTTCAGGAGAAATTTTTCTCAGACCTCAGTTCTCAGAATAATTATGTTCTTTCTGAGCACAATTGACTTGTTTTTATCTTATGAACACAGAATCATTTAATTGTTGTGTTGTTGTGTTTACCGTGGCTGCAAGGAAGCTCAGAGACACACTTGTGCCCCATTCCTACCAGATATCCAGGGTCTTAAGCATATATTTTTATTTTTATGTATTAATTTCCCCCTTCATTTCATTGTATCTTTCCACTCTCATCTTCTATCTGCCTTGATTTTTTGGACTTTTTTTAATTGAATGTAACATACAACAAGAATCATAAATGTATAGCTTGATGAATTTTCATAAAGTGTGACCAATACCTGGATCAACAGCAGAATGTTACCAGCCTCCCAATATTTCTCCTCAAGCCCCTTCCTATCACTACCTTTCCCTTAAGGATAATCATTACCCTGACTTCTTACATCATATGTTTTTGAATTGTATTTAAGTGGAATCATATAGTAGGTGCTCATTTTGTGTCTGAACTTATTTTATTCGGTATTATTTATGAAATTCATCCATATGTTGCATATAGTTGTAGTTTCATTGCCGTATAACTGTATGAAGGTAGAGGTCAAGGTACATTTTTTTTTCCAATCTGGATGCCCAATTGACTCAGCACCATTTATCAAAAAGACCATTATTTCCCCACTGCACTGCACTGTTACCTTTGTGATACCAGGTGACCGTATGTATGGATTCTATGTCTGGACTCTATTCTGTTCCGTTGTCTCTTCTTTTACCACTACCATAATGTCTTAATTATCATAGCTTTTTAGTAGGTTTAAATATCTGGTCGGGAAATTCCTTTAACTTTGTTCTTCTTCAACATTATCTTGGCTGTTCTTAGGGATCTTTGTATTTCTGTATATATTTTAGAATTATTTTGCTAAACCCCACAAGGTAACCTTTTGTGATTTTGATTGAGTTTGCATTAAATTTATAGGTCCATTAGAGACAATTTGTATCTTCACAATATTGCATCTTCCAATCCATGAACACAGTAGATCCATCCATTTATCTGTATCTTCTTTAATTCATTGCAAAAATGTGTTAGAATTTTTAGTGTAGAGGTCTTTCATATCTCTTAGATTCATTTCTAGGTATTTGACGGTTTTTGATACTCTCATAAATAGTATTGTTACTTAAAGTTCATTTTCTCCTTGTATGTTGCAAATATATGGAAATATAATTGATTTTTAACCTTTCATCCATCTTGGATGTTAAATTCACATATTGATTCTAATAGTTTGTCTATAATTTTGGGGGGATTTTCTATGTAGTTGTGTTGTCTGCAAATAATAACTTTTATTTTTTCTTTTCCAATTAATATACTTAGCTGGCTCAACGTTTAGTGCTGGTATATATTGTGTTGTGTTCCTTGTTTGTTTTTAGAAGCTGCTTCAAATCCTTTCTGCCAAAAAGACAAAGTAGAAATAGATTTTTCCCCCCTGAAGTTATCTCTAGTTATACAGTAAAGTTGGGTCAAAATATATGATTTTCTTTTTCTTTTTCTCTTTTTTTTTAAGATTTTTATTTATTTAAGAGCACAGACGGGCAGAGGGCCAGAGGGTGAGGGAGAGGGTGAGAGGCAGACTTCCTGCTAAGCATAGAGCCTGATGCAGGGCTCGACATGGGGATCGATTCGGGGATTGATCCAAGGAACCTGAGATCATGACCGTAACCAAAGTCAGATGCTTAACCGACTGAACCACCCAGGCACCCCAAAATATGTTTTCTTTTTTTTTTTTAAGATTTTATTTATTTGAGAGACAGAGACAGATAGTGACAGAGATAGCTAGAGAGAGCATAAGTGGGGAGGAGAGGGAGAAGCAGGCTCCCGCTGAGCAGGGAGCCTGATGTAGGGGCTCGATCCCAGGACCCTGGGATTATAACCTGAGCTGAAGGCAGACGCTTAACCGACTGAGCCACCCAGGTGCCCCTAGGTTTTCCTAATTAATATAAAGTTACTAAGAGGCTGATAATACCTAAGATTCCAAATAATGTTGAATGAGTTCTTCCTCCAGAGGTCATAGCATCTTCAGCTCCAGCATATCCCACCTTTCCTTTCCTTGGGTCTCAAAATAATCAAAGTGTTTTGCTTGTGGGATACCTAGACCTTCTATTCCCTATTCCTTTCTCCAGGTATTTCTTGTCTCTCTGAGATGGTGAATGAATGACTGATTTTTTTCTTTAAAACAAGACACATTCATTGAATATCTTATTTTGGCTGTCTGTTTCTTTCAGGCTTTGGCCAAATGCTACATGGTCAAAGCCAGGGTTGGCAGTATGGTCTCTGGGCCAAATCCAGCCTGCCACCTGTTTTTTATGGCCTGTGAACTAAGAATAGTTTTTATATTTTTAAATGGTTGAAGAAAATTAAAAGAATCATATTTTGTGACACATGAAAATTATATGAAATTGAAATTTCAGTGTCCAAAAATATTTGTAGGAATACATGTATTTTTTGTATTGTCTATGGCTGCTTTTGTACCAAACAGCCAAACTGAGTAGTTGCAGCAGAGATCATAGGTCCCATGTAAAGAAAAATATTTAGTGGCTGGCTCTTTACGGAAAAGATTGCCAACCCCTGGTCTAAATAGTAGGGAGCCACTGAAGGATTTGAGCAGAAGAATGGCATGTAAATGTGCCAATTTAGGAGAGTTAATCAAGTTTCTGGTACACAGGATGGAATTGAACCAGACATGGGAAAGAGGGGAGCCTTGAATTAGAGGCCAGAGCCAGCTGGAACAACAACCATGGTCTGTGGTGGAACTTTGTGAGGGGATTTAGAGAGAGGAAGAAATGGGAAGAGGAGCCCATGCTTTATATCATGCTTGACTGTTAAAAAACAAACAAAGCAGCTTTTCACACAGCATAAGGTTGAGTCTGGATAGTGTTCTGTGTACCTCACCATGTGATCTTCACAGGTCTCAGAATGAGTAGATGAGCTATGTGCACACAGATAGTCAAATTATATGTCTACCTGTATTTTTTGTGTCTTATAAATGAGGAAAGCGATTCAGTTACTTTCCCAAGGTCACACAGCTCCTAAGAGTCCCTGCCCCCAGATCTGATTCAGAACTGGTATTTTTTCTGTTCAGTTCAGTCAACATTTTCTTCTTTACTATGTGCCAAACACTGTGTTAGGTACTACAGATATGAAGATGAGTAAGATATGGTGATCAGCCTAAAGAAAGGTATAGTGTAGCAGAAGATGTAACTCTAATACAGTGAAAAGTATTTTGATAGAGTTGATAAACTGTCTTGTATCTATCTTTGATAGAGCTGATACATTGTATCAATGTAAGGGAAAGCTTTTAGCTTAGTCTCGGTGTTTAGGAAAGCCTTCTTGAGGTGAACCTTCACTTGAAAGATGAGTAAGGAGTGTAACTTAAAAAGGAAATACAATCTGCTTTTCTCTGAGGCCTTTGCAGAGCTGACCTACTTTATATAATGCCACATTAGCATTATCTGACACTTTATGTAATGCCACATTATAATTATCTATGCCTAGATGTATTTAGTGGTAGCAATGTGTAGTGGAAAATGTTTGGTTATTTCATAAAGGTCTCTGAGTGAACCCTTCCTGGTCTTTCAACCCTACTGCTATTACCAGGAGTAGGGGCAAAATTTCTATAGTATGGGTTCGTTTCTGTTTTCTCAAGCCTCTCCAGAAAGAAAAAGTTTATCAGGGCAGCTCTAAAGGGCTTTTTGGACCAGATGTCTTTTTTTTTTTTTTTTAAAGATTTTATTTATT